ATTTGACCTGAATGAAAAATTATGTTGAACTGTGTGGAAGGCCCAAGTCCCTTCGTTGACTGCATTCTGTTTTGTAGCCCCATCAAAGTTTTTTGTACAAAAATATTTGTTCAATTTTTTGGTTGATGCAGCGGCAGCATGGGCATCTTTATGTTTTCGCGTGTTTAGATGTTGAGAAATATCAGACCGCCCCCCGTTTGCAATTGAAAACACTGATTTGCACTTTTCACAACGAACTTCACTAGCCAGTCCAGTTTCTTTAATGAATTTGAACTCTTTTTGAAGCTCATCGTTGAAAATACACCTACGTTTTGGAGGCATGGTGGCTTAGTTCTAAAAATTAATTTCGTTTCCTTATATAAATAAATGAAAATTTATTTTTACATCGATTTTATTCTTACAACGCGATGATAAGTAAATGTCTTGCGTTTATCAACATCGCTTTCAATTACGCGGATAATTTGATCCGAGACTCTTTTTTCTCGTGAGAGTGCTGTCAAAAGGTTCATTTTTTATAACATCTTCTAATAATGCCACTGCTACGAAAAACATGCTTGGTATTTACTAAGAAATTTTAGGTGATTTTTTTTTTGAATAAGTAAATCGCTCGAAAATCAATAAATGTGAATAAATATCTGCTTTGCCTTTTAGTATTATAAAATTCTTAAATTACGAATAAACGCGTTTTTACTTATAAGCACTGCATTTTTGCTAGTTTTTTATAAATGCATGCACAAAAAATCCCTCGAATTCAAAGCGCTGGATTTTGAACTTGACTAGTGGTAGCTGTTCATCGGCCCTGAACTTTCTGTGCTGCCAAGTCATAAAACGAGTTTGGGTGCTCTCTCAGAAGCAAAACGAGAGTGTCTCGTATCATATCATCTGTGTTCAATTGGTTCATTGACATGTCATTCTGATCAGCTGACAAATCCGGGGATGTTGAATTTTTCCTCTAGTTAGAAATACCAAATACGGTACAAATACTGGACGTAAGGAAAAATACAGAACATTTTGCGTCCCGTATAAAATTATTAAATTGCCAGGACAGGTGGCCCAAAAAGAGGACTAACCCGTATAATACAGGATGGATGGTCACCGTAACTTAATTGGAATGTTTCAGTAAAATAAAGCCAGAGAAAATACTACTCACAGGCTTTATTTCCTTTTTTATGGAATAAATCAAACGGGTGTTATTTCCTTTCCTTTGAGAAATAAAGTCCGCGGCCATTATTGTTCTTTCGCAAAGGAAATAAAGCCCGCGGGCTTTATTGCCTTTTATTGGAGGGCGCTATTTCCCCTTCGAAATGGAAATAACGCACATGGGCTTTATTTCTCTTTTTGTTTTTAAGAAATAAAGCCCGTGGGCGTTATTTCCGCGGGCCTTATTGCACTCCATCGACCTCTCTGAGCCGTTCGCCACCAAATGGGATTTCAGACAGGGCGACTCCCTTTCATGTGACTTCTTTAATCTGATGTTGGAGAATATAATAAGAGCTGCAAAACTGAACCACTCAGGAACAATTTACTACAAGAGCGTGCAATTTCTGGCTTATGCCGATGAAATCGACATCATTGGTAACAAAAACCGCGAAGTCTGTTCTGCCTTTTCCAAGTTGGATAAGGAAGCAAAGCGAATGGGTCTTGTGGTAAACGAACACAAGACGAAGTATCTCCTGTCATCAAGGAAACAGTCAGCACATTCGCTTCTTGGCACCCACGTCACTGTTGATGCTTATAATTTCGAGAAAGTAGAGAATTTCGTTTACTTGGGAACCAGCATTAACACTGATAATAATGTCAGCATGGAAATCCAACGCAGAATCACAGCCTTATTCTATATCATGAACGATAGGCAACACGAACGATTCGTCTACAGATGAAAATATCTCTCATTGCGATTTTATTACTGTGTCGGACGTTTTCGTCTTGCTTTTCGTATATTACGTTACAATGGTCTCGGTTACGTTTGAGCCTGCTAGAATGATGCCGCCGGACTAATTTTTGAAGCATTCCTCTGCAGACGAATCGTTCGTGATGTAGAATAAGGCTGTCACTCTTGCCAGCAAGTGCTACTTTGATCTGAGTAGGCAATTCAGGAGTAAATTCCTCTCTCGACATACGAAAACCACACTTTATAAGTCACTCGTCATGCCCGTGCTGGTATATGGCGCAGAAGCATGGACAATGACAACATCCGATGAGGCTGCTCTTGGAGTATTCGGGGGAAAGATTTTGCGAAAGATTTACGGGCCTTTAGCGTTGCCGACGGCGAGTACCGCCGACGATGGAACGCTGAGCTGTATGAGCTTAACAACGGCATGGACATAGTGAAGCGAATTAAAATACAGCGGCTCCGCTGGCTTGGCCATGTCGTTCGAATGGACACGGACGCTCCAGATCTGAAAGTATTCAACTCGGAACCCGCTGGTGGTAGCAGAGGAAGTGGAAGATCCCCACTGCGATGGAAAGACCAGGTGGAGAAGGACTTGGCTTCACTTGGTATTTCCAATTGGCGTCAGTTGGCACAGAAAAGAAACGACTGGCGTGCTTTGCTGAACTCGGCCAAACTCGCCTCGGCGGTTATAGAGCCAAATAAGAAGAATAAGTAGTAATGGCTTAAGTCCGCTACAGCAATTATTATCGACTCTACATTGGTTAGTTAATGGTAGCCAATATCATGGAATCTGTCAAATGCATAGGGTCCACAAATTAACGGTATGTAGAGTAATCCATCGAGTGGCAAATGCCGTGACAAACAAATCGATGGATGAAACTATTTGCTAACTGTAATTTACGCAAAATATTGGTCCTGGGCCCAATTGCACCAACGACTTATCAGTTATCACTTTACAACTTTTGGATAAGCCTTATTTTTGAAAAGTAAAGTTTATCAACTCAAAGCAACCGTAGTAGGCATATTAGAAATTAAATCTTGAGCATTGACAACAGAAGAAGGCGATTGTGAAGAGCACAACAGAGATTGACTCACGACGTAAGCGACAACAAAATTAGAGGTGGACCGAATGTCAGCAGCGGTAGCGGCTTTAGAAATCAAAGCGATGGTAGTAGGCATACTACAAATGAAAGCATGGGCATTGACGACAGTTGGAGACAAATTTGAAGACCAAAAGAGAGATTGATTACACGGTTCAACAAACTTTGGCCTCATCTTATAGATTTTTTGATGCTGATTTGAAGTGCATTTACAAAATTTTTCTAGCACGTCCAGTTTTTGAGAAAAAACTGTTGAAGTGTCGAAAAATGGCAAATTAAAAAAAAAAATTAAAATAGTATTTGGACGTATGTAGTTTTTCTGAAGAAAAACCCACGTATTAATGAAAATCTAATTTTTCTGATGGATTCTACCTCATGTCGGTGAGTTGTCCTCAACAGGACACACGCGCTCAAGTGGCCGTAACCGCTTCACAGCTTCTAAATCTAAAAGCGGCTCAAGTGCCATATCGACTGCTGTAAATTTTACAAAGGTAATTTCGTTCTGGCACTTACTCAAGTCGCACATTCGATTGTTTCTTTGTACAACCAAAAAAATGTTTAGTTATAATTACCAAGATTTCCTTAGTGACCAAATGGTATAGTTGGATATGACGAAATAAATATCTAATTGGCGAAAGTCTGCAATTTACTTGAGACTGTTGATTAGGATAAATGTACATATATTGTAATAATATACAAAACCACATTATTTTTAGTTGAATAAAATCATTGTTAAGCAAAAATAAATAGTGTATTGATTAATACAAGTTTTTAATTAAGACCGAAATACAATAGCGCAGTGGTAGTGACAGTCTTTCGAAATCAACTGTTGTTTAGAAAGTGTGCTGTCGAATGAAGCAACACATAATACGGCAGTGGCAGCTAGCAGTACTGCTCAGTTTAGCCCAAATTCTAAATTCACTGACGCTGCCTTGGTCGCAGCAAACTTTGCGTGTTGAATTCGACATAAATGAAATGCAGCCAACTTCTGTTTGAGTCACCAAAGCCTTAAACACAACAACAAAAATGGAATGTCAAATAAAGCAGTCACTGACAATGCCGTATTGTGTTTGCTGCGGCAGTGACTGCCCATATTAGTAGTAACAGCTGATTGTAAAAACTGTCACTGCCACTGCGCTATTGTATTTGGGCTTTCACTTTTGTGAACTTGTAGACTTAAGTCAGCTAATAGTTTATTCCTGCCAAAAAAGTTTTAAGTTTGGCACAAAAAAAAATTTACTCAATGACTGTTGTGTTTTTTTATTTTTATTGAAATTAATATAAACATAAAAAATACATAAGTATAAATCTACATACTTATGTATTTACATTGAAGGCCTGCTAATGTTGAACTATAAAACATAGCGACATGTGCCACATCATGAGAGTGCCAGTGCAAAGTATGTCTCTCATACATGTTTGACAGAGACAAATGAAGACTCTGTCGAATAAATTCCAATCAAATCATGCATCAAGTCTATGCATGTCAACACATGCGACATAGTCAGCATTATTAATTATATTGTATATACATGAGGAGATTTTTAAAATTTTGGAAGCCCTTTTATAGTAAAATTCATTAAACAATTGTCTAATTAAAAAATCTATACATATTTTAATACAAGGCAGGATCAAATAGTATTAAAAATATGCTACAGAAATACAACAGCGAACAACAGTTTAGCTAACTAGCAATGACATGCTAAAACAGTAGTGGTATTCACCAAAGTGAGCAAGTGGCCTGGCAGTCTGGTAAAAGGGCAGACAACTGTCGTTGCTTGAGCTGATCTGCTCTTTTGCCAGAGTGCCAGGCCACTTGCTCAATTTGGTGAATACCACTAATATGTTTGAGATGGAATGACATGGCACAACACCTTGTTTGTGTTGATATGACATAGCAATGCATGAAATTTTTGAAAACGACATTTTTACAGAAAATGTTGAATTTTGCAGTCCTTTAATATACATACATACTACATTGCTATATAGTATATATTTTTTTTCAGCTACCACCTATTTTGGGAGTTTGGGGAGAAATGGGACTAGACGATGCCACATTTTCATGTACAATTTTGAAGAAGAATGAAAAGTCCATCAAAAAAACTCTGTTTTTGATTGGATTTCTCTTGCCCTGCATAGTTATAATAGTTTCATATTCGTGTATTTACTTAACTGTTATACGACAAAAAAGAAGAATGGAAACTCATAGAAACTATAAAATTTCGTCGAATGAGTCGGTATTGACTGCTCGAAAACAGAACGAGGATAACAGATTGACTGTAATGATGGTTACCATATTCGGCTGCTTTCTTGGCTGTTTCTTGCCATTAATGTTGGCGAACGTAGTGGATGATGAAAGGAAAACGAGTTACCCCTGGTTTCACATTATGGCGTCAGTAATGGCATGGGCGTCGAGTGTCATAAATCCGATTATTTATGCCGCAACCAACAGGAATTATAGGTGAGCAGTGTCCATATTACACTTTCTTAGGTGATGTACAATAATGCCATTGAAATTATGCGTTTTATTTTCTACCGAAAATGTTGCTCTCTCAGTTCTCTCTACGCACAAATATTAAGGAGAGGGCAATATAAAGGCAACATTTTTTGTAGAAAAGAAAACGCAAATAAATTCACTTTTAGGGAGTTAATGTCAATAACATCAGCACACAAGCTTCTTTTTCATATCGGACCCAAATTTGATGTCACACTTTCTATAGGTTTCATATATTTTTATGGGTTCTATACATGAAATAAGCTAAACGTATTCGAGAAATTTGTCTTGTTAAGAGATATGATATGTCGAAAGTTTTGATTTCTTCGTGATTCTGACCAATCTTGTACTCTTCAAATCGTTATATCTCGGTTCTAGTCATCGTTAGACTTCACCTTAACGTCGTAAACCAGACCAGTAAATAAGGGATTTAAAATCATACCATATTAATCCTTGTTTAATCTTTACTAATATTATAAATGCGAAAGTTAGTTTGTTTGTTTGTTACGCTTTACCCTTTAATAACTCGACCGATTGTCATGAAATTTTGCATTGGGGTTATTTAGCCCAACTTAAAAGATAGGCTAGCTCGAGTAGACAAGGGGACATGGGGCCTCTCATATAAACAGAATTTTTCATACTGCATATCTCTAAAAGTATTTGTGGTAGAGCACTGGAACTCGGTATGGATATATATAAAATCAACTCTATACTCATTGAGAAAAATGGGCGCTATTGGAGAAGTGAGATTGACCCCTCCCTACAAACCGAATTTTTCATACCCTATACCTATGGGATTATTTGTGCTAGACTAAGGTTTAGTCAGAAATGCGTCAAGCCAAAGCATCTTTCTTCTTATTTGGCGCAGTAACCGCGCCGTTTTCCGGCTAGATTCAGCCGGTTGTGAAAGCAAACAGCCGGAGAAAATTCAGTTTAGCCGGCAACCGATTTGTTAGCCGCTATCCAAAAAAAAATTAGCCACTTTTATCCGATTTTGCTATTTGCAATATTTTCTTAAAATTTGTATATATAAGTTTCCATTTTTACAAATTTAGTGGCCCAAAATCTATTAGAAATGGGTATCTCGGAGAAATTTTTCATGTCGAACTGTGTTACATATATACAATTCAAATTTCTAATCCGAGAAGTCTTCAAATACTGGGCCGATTTCAATGATTTTTATTTTAAGCGCATATACAGTGACCCAAATATAAACTGGAACGCGACATTTTAGCAAATTTCGGCTTTTTTTTGTTTAGTTAATTTAATGTTTATTCTTTTTTATGAAAATCTAGCTGATTACTTAAAAAATACCATTTAAATCCAAACTTCATATTTTGTGGAAATATTATGAAAATTTTGCAATTTTTCACAAAATTTTTTAGCTTTTTAATCAGCATCTTTAGAAATTTAAAATCTTAGTATAATAAGTAAAAATGTAAAGTACCTAGCACTTACCGCATATTTTTCGCAATTTTTTGTTGCCGGTGTTTCGCATTTTTTACATATAAAAAACTTGTCGAACATAGTTTGTATGGCCAAAACCGTCATTAAAAAAATTCCAAAAATCAGCAGTAAGGCCTCGCTAGTTCAAATTTGCACCTCATTAAACTACAATTTAATAGACTTGAAAACTGCATACCATATTTTTTTCTAAAGCTGCCGACTAAAAAGTTAAAAATTTTGGTGAAATTGTGCACAAGTTTCATAATTTTTGCACAAAGTCCGAAATTTGGATTTATATGGTGTTTGTTAAGTAATTAGCTATATTTTCATAAAAAATAATAAACATTAAGTAAAGTAAAGAAAAATAGCAAAAACTTGCTAAAATGTCGCGTGCCAGTTTATATTTGGGTCATTTTAAAGAACGTAAGAGCGCGAATTTCAATGTGAAGCAAAACCCTCTGGGAAGACAATATCTATGAATAATTGTATCGTGGTGCTAACATCATTTAGTGTGACTCATTATTGCTCTCTGACAGGCATGTGCAGAGAGTGAGCAGGTCCTTAAAAACGGGAACGCTTCGAATATATGGACATCAAAATAACGTATGCGGAATGAAAAAAATTCTGGTAAACACAGGAGCCAAACTAAGTATACCAAAATCTAGTGCGCAATCTTAACAAGCACTCCACTAAAAATTACCCCTTTGTATATTATAATGCTGAAATAATTTCCTTGAAAGAGAACGAACACTGAAAATTTGCTAGTAAATTTTGTATACCGAAACTCAATGTCACGAAAAGTAGCGTGCTTTTTCATTTTTTCTGTATGAGACTTAAAAAAAAGTTTATTTACAACGGAAATGTCGGCTTTAAAGCATAGGAAAACACTAGAAGGAAAACCCACGAGTGTGAGAAAACATGTTTCACATAGCAGCGAAATGAGACTGTAACAAGAATCATAAGTTGCTTGATCTCTCTGCAAAATCACAGCGTATAATGACAATAAAGTGCAAAGTAAGCGATAAAACACTGTGCAAGAGCCAGGGATATAGTGAAATATGTGCAAACCACTCTACCCAAGATTTTTTAAACGTTGAAAAGGAAAATTAAAAGCGGCTATGAACGCTTTCCCAAAATTTGTTTGCACTACATTCATTTCTGTTTTGTACAACGGATTAGGGAAATATTTTTCATTGGGGACCCATAAAAGGACACCTAAATATAACTGAACTAATTATCGTCTAAATGGCTAAAACAATAATAACTCAAATTGGAACAATAAAGTCCCAAAATAATATTTTTGAAAAAGACGCATTATGCTTGAAAGCTTAAACAGGCCAACCGTTAAGGACATAAGTCTTTTCTATAAAAATGTTTCTTGGAAATTTTGACAATATCTATGTGAGTGGGAAAACTATATTTGTCGCATCCTAACGTATAGCTGTTTCTTTTTACTGCATCCGTTCGTATTTCATTCCGCATACGTTAAAATTATATAATTAAATTGTTATAAACTTAAAAAGTTACTGGCTTTTTTCTCGAAATAATGTCGCCCTATTTTCCTCAGCTTTACGTGGTCATTTCTTAAAGCATTTCCCTCCAAATAAGCAAAAGTGCAATACTTTCTACTAATATAGCCAATCTGCAGGACGAGAAGTAACCTAGTACAAATGTTACAATATGCATACCTAAGAAGGCAAAATTTTTCAATAGAAAAAAGTCATAAGTTTATAATTGATCTATTGTTTATATTTATGTAAGTAATACAAAAATGACTTCTGAGGTAGAGCTTTAATTAATCAGGTATAACGACAGATACAGTTGTTAACTAAAAATAATTTAATGGATTTATTAATCTTTAAACTTTATTCAAATAAAACATGTTAATTTTAGCTGACAAATTTTAGCCGCTTTCAGCCGTTTTTTTGGCGAATTTAGCCGGCTGGCCCAAAAAGTTCTGGCAACACTGATCACACGAATACCAAACAAAAGTTTTAAAAAAATTGAAATAATTAAATTGTCGCTTTTTCGGTTTTGAAATGTCTCGAAAACGTAATTTCAACTTATCGGTGCAATTATCTTACTAGTATTTCTGGACAATCTATACTAATATATATTTTGAAAGCCGTTTTTTTTCTGTTCGCAAAGCTCGAGATCGGCTGCACCGATTTTCTTGAAATTTCGGTTATAGGATCTGGATGGGCTTCTCATTGTCTTAGGCAAAAAAAAGTTTAAATACTTCCCTAAAAATGGAGCTGCAGGACTTTAAAAATCCTATGAATCTAACATACATGCCCACATAACAGCGCTGAGATCGCCCTCTGCTGTTAATTCGTACGGAATACAGCGCAAAGCAAGGGTTATGTATACATACATACGTGCTAATGTTAACGTTAATGTTGATTCTTATGTTAAAAAAAAACAAATATGTATGTACAGTTCATGGAGAAATAATGTACGGAATTATGTCTGTAGAGTCGTTTATGTTGCCACAAGGAGCAACTGCCATTTCTGTTAGCTCTTACATTTGTATATGCATTTTTGTGTACCCTGTAGTCAAATGTACTAGTTGTAAACTACCTCACAACTAGTATGAAACGCATGCCCAACTAGTCGGCCAACTATTTTTTCCATGCAATCACCTGGTATTTTTAGCATGGGGATGTCCTACAAGATGGCAATTGTCAGAATTTGGTCAGAAGTATACCAGTCTCATACTAGTTGAAAACAGACAGAAAAATCCTAGTCCAATTATGGACCAAAACCACTACTTTGGAAGTCAAAAAATAAAATGAATTCATGAACATACAATAAAAAAACTTTTGATTAAGTACACTTTAATACATTACACATTTTTATTTAGCTTAGATTTGCCAATAATTAATGTTAAATTGTTTGAGTATTAATTAAAAGGGAAAATAAATAGATACATAAATATTTCAAACTTTCGAGTCAAAATTTAAATTCATTATACATTAAACGTTATTAAAAGTAAGAGCTTTCAGGTACAATAAATACTATATTTTTATCTTTTTTAATAATATTGAATATGGAAAAGAAAACATTTTGGTTAAAAATAAAACTAACATTTTAGTTCATTTTTGAGTGAACTAAAATAAAGATAAAAGCTTTCATTGAAATAAATTTAATTCATTAACTTTGCACATTTCAGTCCTTTCTTTTTAAAATTTTTTAAAAGTAATAATTAATGTTTAAAATTTGAGATTCGGATAAGAATAAAATAAATAAATAATTCAAGCAGTTATTAAATGTTCTTAATTTTTGTCTATACTTTGGCTTGTTGATTGATAATTGAAATTAATCAAATAATTATTTAATCGTGTAATTAAAAAAAGTCAAAGATGAGTGAAAGTACTCAAAAATAACAAAATAGTGATGTAATTAAAATTAACGAATTAATTAAACATTTTTGTTTAAGTAATTAATTATTAATCATTAAAAAGGTGCTAATATCAGTATTTAACCATTAAGCGGTTATCCAAAAACATGCTTTAATTAGT